GGTAGCCTAAAGTATACCCAATTAGTTTTGTCACAAGGACTGATTTTGTACACTGAAGTTTTGGCCTTGTGAAATTTTCATGTAAACTTACTTTTCCATAACAAGCTAAAAAGTAACGACAAGTGTGAGAAATGTTCATACTTAAAAGTCAGCAAAGGAATAGTACACTGATGCTTCTCTTCAGACTTAGGTTGTGTCTGTAAAGGGTATTTTAAAATTACCTAGCCCAATTAACTTCTGTCAAAGATGATTGGAACAATTTAAGGATTTTTTTGCAAATAGCGTATTAACATAACGTTAAAGCAGTTCACACACAGTGTTGCTCAAGACTGTAGTTGCAGATTTGGAGTGCAATTTTTCATGCTTACCCTGAAGTGTAAACAACACAGTCTGTCATTGTAATAGAAGAAATGTGCTGAAATTACGTATCATCTGGTAAAAAAATAAATTCTTTTCTGATACTAAAATGTATAACATTGTAATAATATCTACCTTATTTATTTAGTTTACTTAAGTTGCTTTATTCCCTTTCAAAACCTCTGAATCGGTCCTATCTCTAATACAAAATTATCCCTTCTTCTCTGTTATGTGTATGATTGCAAAAGCTATTACCATCCAAAATGCATTTCAATGTTTTTATATACAATTATTTAGGTAATTTTTCCCATTGTCAAGTCACCAGTGACCAACCCCACAATTTGAGGCCAATTATGACTGTCTGAAACTGACACTTTATTCTGGCTCCGACATCAGTGCTTCTTAGCAACAGCAAGAATGTAATTAAAAACAACATTCCAATTCTCTGCGAACACTTAAGGAAAACATTACTTTGCATTTTTTCTGCCATTTAAGCCTTGCATTACAAAATTAAATGATTGGTTTGCTCTGGGTAAAACTCAAATACTGATCTTCAGGTGCTCATGCACCTGTCTGTTAAACTTCAAATTGTAAACTTAAAGGTGAAGAACAATCTTTAAAAAATAGTCAACCATTTTCTGACCTTGGAAAGAGTCAATTATCTTCTAACAGGCCATAAGGTGGGAATATTCAGTGCAGCATTCATAGTCATAATGACAGATTACCAGTTAAATGGTATAAGATCACTATCTTGGTAGACCTGTTTATCATGTGCTTTACTATTTGCTCTTGTTGATAATACAAGGAAGTTAAAGAGAAATAAGAAACTTACCTCCCAACACATGCGAATAACAGCAGAGAGAAAAATGAAAAGATAAGGAAAGACACTGCCATTGTCTTCTTTCGTCCAATCCGGTCAATAATCCATAACGTTACTAAGACACCTGCGGAAAGATTAATGTGCCCATGTGAATGATGAACCCAGATGCTGACTCATGGAGTTTGACTTAATTGGCACAAATTATTTCTTTCTACATGATTTTTTAAAAATTATCGTCAACTACTTTGACTCGTCACTGTGAAATCAACACGCTCTACGACCATGGGACTTCCCGGCAGAGTTTCTCATGTCTTTTGTTTCTGTATTCATTCAAAGAATATGGGCATCACTAGCTTGTCAAGCATTTATTGCCCAGCCCTAGTTGCTTTTGAGAAAAGGGTGGTGAGCTGCCTTCTTGAGCTACTGCAGCCTTGGTGTAGTCATGCACACAGTGCCAGTTAAAAGGAAGTTCCAGGATTTTGACCCAGAAGGAACAGCTATATATTTCCAAGTCAAGATAATGTGTGACTTGGTTGGAAACTTGCAGGTGGTAGTTTTCCAATGTATTTAATACCCTTGTCCTTCTATGTGGTAGTGGTCATAGTTTAGGAAGGCTCTGTCTAAGGAGCCTTGTTGAGTTACAGCAGTGCAGCTTATGGATGGTATACACTGCTGCCATGCACATCAGTGATGGAGGGAGTGAATGCGGAAGGTAATGTATGAGGTGCCAATCAAGTAAACTGCTTTGTTGTGGATGGTGTCAAGCTTATATCAGGCTAATCTCCCAATTTTCTTTCCCTTTCCACCACCCATTGATAAATCCATTCAGTACTCCCCAGCAAGAATGTAGAAATAGAACATCCCCAAAATTCTCACCTGGAAACTCTGACAATGTGGTCCAAAGAAGGTCTGTGTAATCAGTAGCATTCAAGTATTTACATTCCAGTGTACACCTTCCCTCAGGTTTCTTGCCACTTGTCGACACTAAAAAAATGAAGGAACATTATCTTCCATCCATGTACTCATGCCAAATGAATATTATTCACACACAAATTATTTCTCTTGCCAACTTCATCTCCTTTATCTCTTGAAGAGATTCACATGCTATATTCAAAAGAAATGTGTTCTTGATTTTACTCTACAGAGTCATCATCTTCCTTACAGCCATCATCCCCCATAACCTGTAAATTAACAACTGCAGAAATGTGTCATTGAATAATTGGTGACTTGGTTTCTTTCTAGTATAAAGTTAAATGCAGTGTTATGACTTAAAATGCAAGAAGTCCTCAGTCAAGAAGTTAGGTGATATCATGATTGAGCTTCAAAGTCAATGGAAGGAGCAAGGTAAGGATCTCCACACACTTGAGGTCCTGAGCAAACAAACTCAGAATGGGAAATGCTGCTAAAAGTCTTGGTATCAACATGTAAGTGACATAGGGAAGGAAAAATTCATATTTAGTTCAGTTTGAAGCTGCAAGAAAATGTCAAAGAAGCAATGGCAATAAAAAAAGCAAAAAGACAACCAAGAAGAAAAAGGACCGGGTGTAGGAGCTGACAGAAGCATTACTTAGCAGATTACGAGCTATAATTTGTCCATATAAAACTTAGCTGAAAGGTTAAAATGAGATTGTAAATTGAAGTGCAGTTGTACTAAAGATTACTTTTAAAGCTGCTCTTAGCTGCAGCATCCTTTAAAATTCATCACAGAAGTGGCATTGCTTATTCACTTTCTACATGGACTCCTGACTTGAATAAGCAATATAAATGTCTTGACTGAGATTCCCACACAATATGTCAATAGAGCACATTAGAATGAGTGAGCAACTGGTACAGATGATGATTCACTCCACAGAGTATTCTGTTTGGGGAATTTAGTTATTGAAGTTAAGCTTATTCCAATATGATTATTTAGCCAGTGTGGTTATTTTAATATTTACTCATTTAATTTATAAGTCATTAGAGCAGCTTTCAGAACTACAGTCAAACACGGATCAATGAGATTTTCCCACTACTCCCCCATTACAACACTGGAATAATCAGGAGGTGTACTTACTGCTACACACATCACCTGCCTGGAAAAGCTCTGTGGTTAATAGAACCAGTCCATAATAGGAGAAAGCATTGGAAAACCTAAAAACATAAACAGAGGTCTGTGTATTATTATTCACAACCACTGAGCAATGTAACCTTGTGTTCTCCATATCTTGTCCCTTTCCAGGGATGTTGTCTAGAATAGCATTAGTTAAAATTACTCCAGATAAAAGGATTAAAATATATCCATCAAACTGATAGATTTTTTCCAACTTTCAATTTCTGTTACAAGCATAACGTTCACACCTTTGTATATCTTTAATCAGCCTGCCAAAATGTTCTTTATTTCCCATCACCCTTTGGAAACTCAGCAATTGTGTTCCTTCTCTCTTCAGGCAAAATACAATACAGTGAAAGCAATGAGAGAGCTATCAGGGACAAAAAAAAAAATTCTGCATCCAAATTGTCAACCAATACAAAAAAAACCAAGATTTGTGAAAGTGAACACATAATACATCAATGTCACAGGGGAAACCAGCATCCTGAGAAGCTCTACACAAGATTGAAGGATATGAGAGATAGGGTGCTCTGTGTTATTTTCCAAATTTTGGCATAGGCAAATAGTCTGAACTGATCCATTCAGATTATATGTGCTCCTATTTAAATGGACACATTTCTGTTAAGTGCTGGCAGCAGGGGAGGATGAGAGAGTGAACGTTTATTTTTATTGACCGTGCATTTTATGGATTACTTGACTAGCCAGCTGCGACTTTCAACAAAACAGCTATTGTGAATACTAAAAGCAATGGATGGAAAGGTGCTGTGATTACTCCAGGGCCAAAGGAACTGAGATAGTAGCTACCAAAAAGGAGCAACCATGGTGCTTCATATTCACTGTGTCCTGAAATAATACTGAGCTCACTTCAGCTTAGCACCTTGTTTATTATTTATGCTCAGTCTTCATTAGTGCAAATGCAGATGGATAAACTGATGTTAGAATGTTTCTTTATCTTTGGTGGAGATTTCAGAGTAAAACAAAACTCTGGATGATCTGAATAATAAATAATTAATTCGTCGTTAAAAGGTAGTTAGGACAAACCAATTTGTTGACAACAATAAAATTGCATTAATTTGATCTTAAACAATACACTTACCAAATGAACCATAAAAGGACAGTGGTTATTCGAAACTGTGGTGTGAAGAGGTCCCAAATTCGTCCACGGTCCTCCTGTCTCAAACAAGCATTTAGCAAATTTAGTTCAGTGCAGGCTGACAAAACAATTCAAAAGTTATTTCACAAACAACCAGCAATGATTATCAACATTTTGAAGCAATGGGAGCTGTTAATTCTTGAAATGGTATATTTGTTTTAAAAGCTTAGTTCCAGCTCATTCATCTTCTCAAATACTGCAAATACTAGAAATCTGAAATAAAAACAGAAAAATACTGGAAATACTACACCAGGTCAGGCAATGTCTGACAGAGAAAGAGAGCCAAAATCTAAGGTCAATGATTAAGGGATTGATAATGGGCCTGCACATTATTAACAATATGCATATTTAAGCCTTTTAGTAACAATTTACAAAGCAGCATCATAGAACTGGACGAACAGTCACCTGTAGTGTCTCTTCATAGACCCTGCCAGACCTGCTGAGTTTCTCCAGCAATTTCTGTTTTCATTTCAGATCTCCAGCATCTGCAGTTCTTTGTTTTAATTTAGTGTTCAACTCACTGCCACATCTCTTCCAGATATTCCCTCCTTGAAGAAATTCTGCTCCTATCTTCAATAGGATTTCCATTCTAACTGTTTTCCTGTTCTCCATTATTATTTTCATTTTCTCTCCTAATATTTGTCAAAGTCTTTGCCAAAACTCACTTCCATAGCCACGTCATGTTCCTCAGTGACTGCCTCCAGCTCATACTCACCCTGCCTGGATTCCAACTGAAGTTTCATCCTTCTGTTTCGAATCCATCCAGGATCACAAGTATCTCCATGATGTACAACACTCATCAGACAGCTATACTCGCTGCCTCCTGAGATCCACACTCAGTGCTAAGCACTGCCATATGCACATTCTTGACTTCTCTCTCCATCAGCACCACCTCACTCTGTCCCAGAGCTGTCCTGTCCCCACTTTCACTCCATTCTCTGAATCCTTTGAAGTTCTAACAACAAACTATTTCTCTTCCTTTCAGGCATTAAGGAATGTAAGTTCAAACAACTTAGGGATACTCATGCCCCTCTGGGACCCTCTTCCCCACTCCTTCCTTCTGACTCCATCCTTTCTCCTGATTCCACCACTTGTCATGTATTTACTATCACTTCTGACCTTCCGGTCTCTGATGCTGAATGTTCCCTACTCTTAGTTTTATCCCTTTGCAGCCCCACCTCAATGAAATTCAGAAACAACTTGATGTTGAACTTTTCTTCTGTCACTTTTGCCTCCATGCTCATTTCTTTGGAAGGAGTCCTCTCCCCATTCTACAAACCTCTTCACCCACCTCCAACACTCACCCTCCACCTGGACCCCTCCCTTCTGGCCTTCTACTTGCACTCGAACTGTTCATTGAGATTTGTTGACAAGATGTTGGTCGCTTTAATTTCTCTTGCCACGCGCCCCCCCCACACCCCCAACCCCAACTCTTCATTCAAACTTAACTCCCCCTTAACTGGTTGTACTCTGTGGTCTCAGATCCAATCCCGATTTTCTCATCAAGCCTGCAGACAAACGTGATACTGTTGTTTTCTGGCGTACTGACCTCTCCATTGCAGAGGCTAAGCACCAGCTCTCGCGAACCTTCTCCCATCTCCCCCGGACGATGACCCTACCTTTGAGCATCAGGCCATTGTGTCCATGACTGTCACCAATCACACCTTATCTGGAGATCTCCCCCAACACTCTCCCACCTGATAGTCCCCCAATCCCATACAGTCTGCTTCTATCTTCTCCCCAAAACCCACAAACAGGGCTGCCTGGGCAGACCCAATGTTTCTGCCTGTTCCTACCTCACAGATCTTATTTCTTCCTAAAAAAAAAAGGCACTACCGGATTCAAAATGTTAACTCTGCTTTCTTCCTATGGATGCTGCCAGACCTGCTGAGTTTCTCCAGCAATTTCTGTTTTTGACATAGAGCCTATTATTTGCCAGCCAAATGGCAGTTCATCATGCATGACTTGGATAGTGAGTTTTGACAAAATAGTTGACTACAAAGAACATCATAGCAAAGTTCAATTCTGACCTTACCTGACATCTATGTGAGTGTATTTTCCAGCAGGAGTCACTGGATTAGCGACCAGGAGAAGAAACACTGACTGACATCTCTTCTTCTTTGTCTGTGGACAAGGAGGTCAACGATGCTACTAACAAACACCAGCCAATCCATCAGGATTCATTGTCAGAATCATCCTGATCTGTAGTGGTTGGTCTCACTCGAGGCAGTTTCACTACTTTCTGTTGTTGTTTCCATTCATTATTTCTTTTCTTTCCTCCCTCCTCACAAGCCAAATACAACCAACAATCTCAACCAAGTTCCAGGCTAAATAAAAACCGAAAGAACTGCGGATGTTGTAAATCAGGAATAAAAACAGAAGTTGCTGAAAAAGCTCCTCTGAGGAAGAGTCACCAGACTTGAAATGTTAACTCTGATTTTTTTCTTCACAGACGCTGCCAAACCTGCTCAGCATTTCCAGTAACTTCTGTTTAAGTTCCAGGCTAAGATGGCATACTGGCAAAATCATTATAAATTGGCTGCTTTTCTGGTTCCAAACTGATTTCCAGATAGTACACACAGTGTTGCAGATAAATTGGTTCTTGGCTTTTTCATTCATTCATTCATTCACCTTGTCCCCTGGAGAAGTAAGTGCCCTATAATGACCAAGCTATGAAACCCACCTGGCAAGAAACTGAAGGGTAACACAACACATTGATGGACCACTGGAGGGTAACATTGCTAGGATTAGCCATTATAATTTTCTTTAGTGATTGATGTGTGTCATACCCAGTAAAGATAACATATTCCTAGCTTTCAAGATACATTCTGTATGAAAAATAGGCTTATTGAAATTGTGACAATATTTTGGCTTTACGAGGTTTATTTTGTCATTTTTTTTGAAGAGACGTTTTGAGATAGAGGTGCAAAGTTGTCTCTTCCAAACCAGCAAACAGGTTGTGAGGCCCTGATTTTTTTTCAAGTTGGAACAATAAGAGCAACATGAATGGCTGGAGTCAGACTCTCACAGAACCAGGGTTTTAGTTTAGCTTTCATCAGTTCTTTGGGTTTTGAAATGGACTGTGGAAGCTGTTACATCTCTCTCAGCCACAGCAAAAAGCTGGAGTTCTCTCTTTGCCAGAATTTTCTCTTAGTGTTATTTTCTCCTGGACTGGAGAAACACCGCATGTGAGACAATCGATTTTACTGAATTTGCCTTTGCCAAGGGTGTTTTCATGGGATGTTAATTACCTGGACGAGTTGCTGTTTAATAGTTAAATGATCTATTATTCTGTTAAGTTTTCCAATAGAGTTAAAATTGTACCAATTTTTCTTTCATTTGCTTGTATTTTAATCGTGTGTAAGAATAAAGTGTGTTTTGCTTTAAGCCAAGTAGCATAACCAATTAAATTACATCTGGAATGCAGCACCTTACACTTGCCTTTAAATAAGATAAAAGTTTGAGTCTAGGCAATCTCCTTGATATATTTGAAGGGGTTTGGTCTGCTCCAAAAATTGACATTAAAAAGGAGACAATTTGTTGCAAATGTGTCTACCAAGAGTCAGGTGATGTCTTGATATTTCCGCAAAGAAATAGTTCAGATCTCTGGGAAATTTTTAAACTATAAATGATCGTGGGTGGAATTACCTCTCTTGAGGAAAATTTTCAAAACACAAAATTACATATGAAGTTACACTTCCTATCAACTAGGTATTTACCAAAGCTCTAAATCAGTGCTCCCATCCCTGCCATCAGATGCATTTCTGTGAGTCCAAAACCTCATGGAGGCAGTGCAGAGAAGCAAATTTACCACCAGCAAGTTTGAACAGCTGCCATTTGTCCGCCATGATATGGCAATGGATTCTGATTTTGAATCTTGTTTGTGGCCTGTAGAAGCATTGATCATGTGGTCACATGAGCAAAATTGACCTCAGATAACAAATCTTATTATTATTCATGCCATTCAGAGGCAGGTCATTGTGGAAACCAGCAGGGTCAAAGGAACCATTCCTCCAGCACCAAGAATAGAATAGTGCCTGAACAACCAGTTAATTCAGAATTCACCTGGGAAAATTAATTTTAACAGAAACTCTGCCATGTCAGTGTTTGGAAACACAGAGGCTTTCAACTTCTTATCAACCAAAGAGCTACGAGAGAATTTATCCAATATATTTGCATATTAAAGGACTAAATTTATTCAAAAATTTCCTCCTGGTATATCCATTAATAATAACCTAAATGCATGTATATAAGTGTGTGTGTGTGCGTTTGTGTATGTGTTTGTGTGTGCATGTGGGGTGCACACATATGTTTGTGTGTGTGTGTGTGTGTGTGTGTGTGTGTGTGTGTTTACGTCTGAGACAGAGTGAGTATTTTTCATTACATTTAAATTTCATGGTTGTAGGGGTGACCTGTACCCTGGCTATATAAAGTAACTTGTACCTGACCACACTAAGCAGCCCACGCCTGCTTACAAGGTGGCAGACAGAAGCTAAGCGAAACTAAGCAGCCTGCTCACACAGTAAAATACAATGGTACCTTTTGAACAGAACTGCTAGAAGAGTCAGTAAAAGAATGCTGCATGTTCCCATCTGAGACAGTTCTGATATAAGGATGCCTTAGGACAGATAAATGACCAATTCCAGCTTTATTAATGCAAGTCTGATTGTCCCAGTAAATGAATAATGTCAGATGCTAGATTAGGTCTTGAAGCAGCTACAAGGATAACAGCTAAAGTTATTTCATAGTAAATAGTTGCCTCTTTGAAGCTACCAGCAATATTAAATAGTTTCCAGCTAAAAATGCTCTAATCATAGAAGTTGGTTTCAATACATAACCAGAATATATTACAAGCCTTAAAAAACATTCAAGCTTAGACGTGAAGGTTAACTAACCCTAAGAGATGCCTTCTCTTATACGCTGAACAAGGCAGATTGCTCACAACCCATACATTACAAAATGCTGACAGTAGAAGTAATTGTATAAAGTTACACTTATAATTAACTTTATAACAGAAGTTAACCTTATAGCAATTTTACTTACAACTGACTTTTTTTTATTTTTACATTGTGTAATTGGAACAGTGGGAAAATAAGAGGAGTAACTGAACATGATAAAAGACACCACCAAAATACAATGGATAATAGAATTTGAGCTGTCCTTACACATAAACAAGCCTGAGAAACACCCAAAGCAGTATAGCTATTACATTTTTGAAATGCGAATGAATAGGATGCATAGAAAGATCACAAGGTCTAGAGAATAAAATGTCTAGTTAATACCATAAGATCATGGGAACCTGGGGATGTCCATAGAAGTGTACATCATTGATTAATTGTTCCACAGATTGGGTGTTTGGATTAAGGGGAAGGACAGTGAATACGTTGTGTTTGATTATTGTAACGCAAAATGTATAAAAATGCTGTGTTTCTTTCTAAAAGCAGAGGGTGTGTCATTGATCTATCTTCCAAAGTCAGATTCGGGCAAGATCCTCTGACCCTCTCCCTGTATAAACTGGTTTCTGCTTAAAAAACATCTTCCACTTGCCTGCCTCTCGGGTCTTTGCCCCCCGTCGGGATAAACGCTCCTACAATGGTGTTGGGTGAATAATCTGTAATTGTCCTTCTGACCTGAAATCTTGCTTCATTTCTATTACCAATGTCAGAATGCCAAAAAGATTTCAAAACATCCCTTCCAAAATATACCTCCTGTTGCACACAACCAAGATATGTGAGGCAAGGAAAAAAGGGCTCCTAACATCCCCTTCCCATCAGTAACACATGGAAAAAATTATAAACAAAGGCTTTGGAAACAGGTGAAATGATTTGAAAAGCAACAGGATACAGATCTGAAGGGAGAATGGATTAAAGGAAGTAATACGAGGGGTGGGGTTGAGATCTAAAAAGATATTCTTGTTTAATATAATGTTTAATATACAATCTGTTATACAAAAATCACGTTCTGTATTAACAGAAGTAATATTTTAATAAAAAGTAACTGCCATCCCTTACCTGTCTGGCAACTATCAATTTTCCAAGTGGCATTGGTGCTCCATTTTCTGTAGCAATGCGTTTTAATGTGGCAATGGCTTTTTCTTGGTTCCCAGACAATACATCATAACGTGCACTTTCTGGAAGCCACTAGAAATGAGATATAGAGCCATCTGATAGCATTAACTTTAACACACAACAATGTTAAGATTAAGGTTGGTTAAGCCTTCCCAGCTTTCTGATCAGGCGACTTTATAAATGTAACCTGCAATCCAGTTCCCCAATATCACAGAAGCCTAGTTGATTAATTCCTTTCCTGATAACTTCTCTGCACAGAATTCTAATAGATCCAGATATTTTCCATGCTGTTCCATTTCAAAGCAATAGTTTTTATAAAGAATCTATGATACGGAGACTGGGGCCACTCAAGAGGTCCCGGAAGACGGGTGAGTAGCTAATATTGTTCCTATGTTCAAGAAGGGAAATAGGGATAATCCAGGAAATTATAGACCGGTGAGTCTCACATATGTGGTTGGGAAGCTATTGAAGAGAATTCTTAGGTATAAGATTTACACATATTTGGAAAAGCATGGCCTAATTAGGGACAGTCAGCATGACCGTGTTTGGGGCGGATCATGTTGTTATTAACTTGATTGATTTTTTTTGAGGAGGTGACGAGGGTGATCGATGAGGGTAGAGCAGTGGACGTTGTTTACATAGATTTTAATAAGGCTTCTGACAAGGTCCTTCATGGTACACTCATCAAGAAGATTAAGATGTATGGGATCCACAGCGACTTGGCCATTTGGATTTAGAATTGGCTTACCCATAGGAGACAGAGGGTACTTGTGGATGTCCATGGATAGTGGTGTTCCGCAGGGATCCGTACTGGGACCTCTGCTGTTTGTGATTTATGTAAATGACTTAAATGAAAACATAGATGTGTGGGTTAGTAAATTTGCAAATGACACAAAATCGGGGGAGTTGTGGATAGTGTAGAAGGTTATCAAAGAATGCAGCAGAATATAGATCAGTTGCAGATATGGGTGGAGAAATGGCAGCTGGGGTTTAATCTGTGTAAGTGTGAGGTGCTGCACTTTGGGAGATAAAATGTTAAGGGAAAATATACAGTTAATGGCAGGACCCATAACAGCATTGATGTACAGAGGGATCTTGGGGTCCTAGCCCAGAGCTCCCTGAAAGTGGCCACACGAGTAGGTAGGGTGGTAAAGAAGGTGTATGGCATGCTTGCCTTTATTGGTTGGGGCATTGAGTACAAGTGTCAGGAATTGATGTTGCAGCTTTATAAAACTTTGGTTTGGCCGCACTTAGAGTATTGCATTCAATTCTGGTTGCCACATTACAGGAAGGATGTGGAGGCTTTGGAGAGGGTGCAGAAGAGGTTACCAGGATGCTGCCTGGATTAGAGGGGTATGAGCTATAAGGAAAGGCTGGACAAACTAGGGCTGTTTTCTTTGGAGTGGCAGAGGCTGAGAGGAGACCTGATGGAAATTTGTAAAATTATGAGAGGCATAAATAGGGTTGACAGTCAGAATCTTTTTCCCAGGGTTGAAATGTCTAATACCAGAGTGCATGCATTTAAGGTGAGAGGGGAAAGTTGAAAGGAGATGTAAGGGGCAAGTTTTTTACACAGAGAGTGGTAGGAGCCTGGAATACACTGCCAGGGGTAGTGGTGGAGGTAGACATGATAAGGGCATTTTAAGGGGCTTTCAGATAAGCACATGAATAACCAAGGAATGGAGGGATATGGACCATGGGCAGGCAGAAAGGGGTAGTTTAATTTGGTGTCATGTTTGGCACAACATCATGGGCCTGTTCCTTGCTGTACCATTCTATATTCTATGCTCCATGTTCGATGATATTCTATAATGTTCAGTGATTTGAATCTGCTGTGAGAGCATTTCCTTTGTCAATGATTAGACTCAGATTACCAGACTGAGAATTTTTGACACTTGTTCAATGAGGTAACAGAAGATTGAAAAAGGGTCTCCTTTAGTTATCCTGTGATCTACTGCTACAGTCATTACGTCTCTTCATTGTGTGAGGTGAAAGTCATTCTCCCCACTATTTTTTCTTCTTTCCCCTCCAGCCCTCATTTTCTATCCTCAAAGCTTGCCATCATTAACCAAAACATAGGCAAAGGATCTTCCAGAACGCCCATGTAACATATACCTTCCATCACCATCCTTAGATTTTCTCTTTTTTTCATGCCTCTACTCAACCTCCTCCTAACAGCAGCCTTAATATCTGAAGAAGGGTCTAGGCCCAAAACGTCAGCTTTCCTGCTCCTCTGATGCTGCTTGGCCTGCTGCGTTCATCCAGCTCTACACCTTGTTATCACTATGTGAAGACTTGTAATGTCCTGGACTTTACACATTATGTAAACTGAATGTAGTGATTTTTTTCCACCCTCTTGCAGCAGGTTCATACATTTCCAACATTTTCTGTTTAAAGTTTTACTTTCAGAGAAGATACCTACAAAACACAAAATGGCGAAAATCATAAGAGGCACTGCAGAAAGAATGAGTAACCAGCGCCAGCCCAGCGTAGGCATTACCACCACTGCCAGCAACACCTCGAATACTGTTCCAAAGGCCCAGAACACCTGAAAGTGAAGACAGCTACAGTTGAACATGAATCACAGATGTTGAGAAAACCAAGAGACTCAAATTAATTATTGATAGACTGATTTTTCAATTCCTTTTAAGTCCTTAGATATCTTTGTCCTGTGTTACTTTGGAGCCCAGAGTTAGCAAGGAGTTGGGGAGTAGTGGCTGTGGCAATGTTTACTGGAATATATACTGGAACTCGGAATACACACTGGAATATACACTGGAGGCATTTATTAAAAAGGCACATTTTCTTTATGGTCCTCAGGGGGTTATTATTTAGCTTCAGCTAACTGAAGGGGGAGCTTTAATTTGCATTTTACCTATGGAAGGATTGTACAAAGAGATCTTTACTTCTTCTCCAATGCACACAAGACTTTGGAAAGCTTGAAAGGGCTATATAAATGAAGCTATATTCCATAGATATCCCTTGTATTGCTTGATTTTGGAGAGATTGATGGAACATAGAGGATAGAACATTTCCCTGCATCTAAATTTTGCTGTACCTGGCCTTGAAGCACTTGACACTGAGGCCCAATGTTAAGTCAAATTTTCCCAGCCAGGAAATCCCTCAGTTTAATCAATACACTTCACTAATCAAGAAACGGTTTAATCAATCAAGAAAAATTCAATATTCATCGCACAGGTAATAGATGATAATATTCATTTCAAGACAGTGATCATATCCCACTCACCTCTATTAGTAAAATACACTTTGCTCTTGACTTCATTGGAAGGAATTCTGCATATAATGTTACCCTGGATGAGCAACAAAAACCAGAAAGATTTGTCTATTGATTCATTTAGAATGAAGAAGTTACAGTAATCGTATGTGATGTACTCACGATTGTGGAACACCTCCAATCCCAAAGCCCACCAAGCCTCTAAGTACAAGGATCCAGCTGTAGATTGGTGAAAAGGCACTCAGTACTCCATAGTACAATGTCCAGAGTACACTAACTTTCAGACCCTGGATTCAACACATAGAAATATAGATGGTAAATACTAGACTCTAGCAGTGACCAGAGAATTAGGCATAACACTGGTAGCTAATGGAATGGCACAGGAATCAGTGCTGGGGCCACAATTATTTACTATTTTATAGATACATAAATGACGTGAATGGCAAAAGTGAATGCACTACACCAAGTTTGCAGAAGACCCAAAAATAGGTGGGAAGGCATATCGTGTAGATGACATAAGGAGTCTACAGAGGGATATAGACAGGTTAAGTGAATGGATATAAACTTGACAGATGTAATATAATGTGAGAAAATGTGAGATTATGCACTTAGGCAAGAACAATTGAAGAGCTGAATATTATTTAAATGAAGAGAGACTGCAGAAAGCTAAAGAACAGAGGGATATGGGAATCCTCATGCATAAATCACAAAAAAACTGGCAAACAAGTTCAACAGGTATTAAGAAAGACAGATGGAGTGCTGGCATTTATTTCAAAGGTAATGAAGCATGAAAATAGAGAAGTCTGGCTAAAACTCTAGCCGAACTACACTTAGAATATTGTAATCAGTTTTGTTCCCTTACCTAAGGAAAGACGTATTAGCCTTGGAGACAGAAAAGGTTCACTAGATTGATTCCGGATATGGAAGGATTTTGTTATGAAGTGAGGTTGAAAAAATTGAGCTTGTAATCATTGGAGTTTAGATGAATGAGAGGAGAACTTATTGAAACATATCAGATTCTCAGGGGGGCTTGACAGAGTACATGTGGAGATGTTATTTCCCTTCATGGAACAGTCTAGGACCAGAGGGTGTAATTTCAGAGTAAGTGGTCACACAATTAAGACAGAGTTGAAGAGAAATATCTTCTCTCAGATTGAATTTGTGTAATTGTTTTAACACAGAGAGCTGATAAGGCTGGGTTACTAGGTATATTCAAGACTGAGACAGACAGCTGTTTGATCCATAAGGAAATCAAGGATAATGGGGAAAAAGCAGAAAAGTGGAGTTGAGGATTGTCAGATCAGCCATGATTTTGTTAAATGATGGAGTTGACTCTGTAGGCTGAACTCTTACAGCTTATGGAGTTAGTTATCTCACTCAAGATGGTGTTGGCAAGCTGTATATTATCGTAATCTTGCTTAGTTAGTGAAAATTTAGTGCTGTCTGATGAACCTTGCTGAAAGTGGATTTTGGTGGATGCCAGTTTAGGATGGGGTTGATCTATGATCTTGCGTTCTTAATTTGCAATCAGATTTTCACCATATAAGTGCAGGTATGAAGAATAGTCATTCAGTTGAGATACCAGAGTACGAGTTAACACTTTCAGAACATAAGAGAAGAAAACTGAAAGCCAGACGTGATTGATACTCACTGTCTTCCTACCATACTGGTCTGATATATTTCCCCATAGCGATGAGCTAGACATCATTCCTATGAACACTACCTAAAGCAGAAAAGAATGGGGCAGAAGATTGACGGTGAGAGAAAAAAGGTTCAAAATGAAACTTCAATACAATTTCGTAGCATGTGTTCAGTGACTAATGAGTGTACCAACTCATTCAAATCAAATAATGTGTTCATACCGAGGATATGAGGGCAACCTGCCAGCTCTGCAATCTCCACTCACAGTGTAGCTGAGGTGCAAGAATGCTGAGGATCATCATCTCCATGGCGTCGGCCATCTACAAAAAAATGTTCAATTAGAAAATGAATACAGAATTACCATTGGCACCAGTCCTGAGGTAGAAGGGAGCTGTTCAGTGCAATGGACTTCTCTTGAACTGTGCTGGGACCAATGTCCTGGTGAATCAATTAGTTCAGGCTATAGAAAGGATTTAAAGTATTCAAGGGTGGGTTCAGGAGGGGCCTTGCCAAATGAAAGGACAAGAGGGCATTGCAGGGCAATTATTTTGAAAATGCTAACCAGTGTGGGACAAGAAAGAGCACCGTGTAAAAGCATTAAGGAAACAACAGCAAATAACATCAAAGGGGGGAAATGGTAAAAAACAAGGAAAAATTAATAGTCTTTACCTAAATGGGCACAATCTTCAGAGCAAAATAAATTAATTAATTACACAAACAGTGGTTAATGGGTATGGTCTTATAGCCATTCTAGAGACATGCTTACAAGGAGATCAAAGCTAGGAACTATATATTCAGGGGTATGTGAGTTTTGAACTTTCAGGCAAGAAGGAAAAACTAGTCAGGTAGCTTCATTAGTAGAATAAGTGCAATGGTAATAACTGCTCCAGGATCAGATGATCTATAATCTCTGGTGCAGGTAAGAAATAGTAAGGGGTGGGAGTGGTCTATAGGCCCCCTAACATTAGCTATTCTGTAGGACAGAGAATATATCAGGAGATAATGAGAGCATATAAAAAAGGCAGTAGATTAATCTTCATGTAGATTTGTTAAATCAAGTTTATAGAGGTGGAAGAAGGAGAATTTCAAAGGGTGTATTCAGGACAGTTTCCTAGAACATTACGTTGAGGATCTAACCAAGGATCAGGCTATTTGGATCTGGTAATCTGTAATGAGGCAGGTTTAATAAATTTTCTCAATGTAAAATGTCCCCAAGGGAACCCTGACCATACCATAGTAGAATTTCAATTTCAGTTTGAGCATGAGTAACTTAGGTCAGAAACAACTGTACTAAACTTAAATAATGGCAATTACATAGGGATGTGGGCACAGCAGGCAGCAGTGGACTGGGAAAGGTGTTTAGCAATGGTTGAGGAACAATGGTAGACATTTGAGAAAACAGTTCATGACTCATAGCAAACATATATCCCAGTGAGGAAGTATGATTCTAAAACAAGGATACATCAATACTGGTTAACTGAGGAAGTTAGGGATACAAATAAAATGAAAGATAAAGTAAACAAATGTGGCAAACAATAAGTGGTAAACCAGAAGACTGGAAAAATTTTAGAAGCCAGCAAACAATGACCAGAAAAAAAATACAAGGGGAAAATGAACTATGAGGGTAAACTAACAAGTAATATATAAATGGATAGTAAGAGCTTCTTTAGATTTATAAAAAAGAAGACATATGCTAAAGTGAGCATAGGCCCCTTAGAGGAAGAGGCTGGGGAAATAATAATGAGGTGCCAGGAAACGGCAGGGAAGTTTAATAAATAATTTGCATCAATCTTCATAGTAGAGGACACTGATAACATTCCTAAAAAGCTAAATAATCAACAGGTTAAGCTGAAATACTATGAACAGTTTTGGTTCTCTTATCTAAGGAAAGATATACTATCATTGGAGGCAGTACAGAGAAAGTTGACTAGGGTGATCCAGCGTATAGAGAGATTATTTTATGAAGGGAAGTTGAGCAGGTTGGCTCAGTTCTCATTGGAGATTAGCAGAATGCTAAATGACCTTACCCAAACCTATAAGATTGTTGGGAGACTAGACAGTGTAGATATGGAGCAACGTTCCCTCTCAGCTATGCGGCTGCACACGTGCACAGCTACTCTGATGTTACACACATGTCTATGACAACATGCCGATTGGGGCATTGACTTTGGTCAGCACATGCTATGTCAGCTATGAGACCAGCACAGCTGATAAGAAAATTAGGGAATTTGGAATTCAGGAAATACTGATGGAGAGAGGTTATTGCCCTTTTGCGGGAGAGTTTAGGATCAGGGGGCATAATCTCAGTGTAAGAAGTCACCCAGTTAGGACAGTAATGAGGAGGACGTTTACCTCAGATTATAGTGAATTTGCGGATTCCTTTACTACACTAGAGGTTGAGTCATTAAGCATGTTCAAGTCTAAAATAGACAGACAAGAATATCAAGGGTTATAGGGAAAAGGTGGGAAAGTGGAGTTGAGGATTATCAATAATTTTGTTTACTATTTCTTACCTGCACCAGAGATTATAGATCATCTGATCCTGGATCAGTTATTGCTATTACACTTATTCTACTAATGAAGCTACCTAACTAGTTTTTCCTTCTTGCCTGAAAGTTCAAAACTCACATTCCCCTGAATATATAGTTCCTAGCTTTGATCTCCTTGTGATCATGTCTCTAGAATGGCTATAAGACCATATCCATTATCCATTATTTGTGTAATTAATTCATTTATTTTGCTCTGAATATTGTGCACTTTTAAAATAAAACAGTGACATTGAGGATTATCAGGTCAGCCATGATCTCATTGAATGGCAGAACAAAAGCAATGGGTCAAGTGGCCAATTTCTGCTCTTACATGTTACGATCTTATTGTCTAATCTTATATCTTATAGTCTTGGTTAATTACCTTTCTGACCAGACATTCTGATAGTTCAAACTGCTTTGGAACAATTTGTTCATCTCTATCCTTAACCACAATCCCATTTTTAAACAGTATTCATCTTAAATGTTTTTTAAAGATGCTAGCTGACATATTATCATTTAGTCTAACTAATTCAAATTTTAAGACTCTTTACTTTTGTACAGCCTTCAAATTTGTTTCATTTCCTGTGTCTCCATCATGATTTTGCAATGACTACCACCATCTTGTAATTTTTACTTTTCAATGGACTAAAGAACTGAGGCTTTGGGAAAAAAGAATTGGTTGAGTGAACAGGACCTTACCCATGCCAGTCCAGTAAGGACTGAGAGTTTCCATTGAAACTTCCCAAATCCAATGGCCTCCACAGCATCCTCCACCATGAACACATCTAAAAAATACACAGAATGTTGAAAACTGAGCAACCTTTTTTCAAATCTCTTGACTCTTTTTACATATTTAATTTTAAGTATGCTTTTATCTCATCTTCCCTGGAATAGTTAATTCTATTCCTGCCCGTCTATCTAATCCTGAAGTGCTGTCTTTGTCGGGATACAGCACCACTATTTGGTGTAACAATCAGCTATGGTTCAGGGAGAAGTATCCTTCATTTTCAATCAGGAGGTGTGAGTTCAAGACTGATTCTAGAGATTGGATCACAAAAATCTTGACTGACTCTCCAGTGAATTGCTGCACCTTTGGATGGAATGTATGGCCTCTCAAGTAGATTGTGAAAAATCCCATGGCATTATTTCAAAGAAGAAAGGGAAGTTCTCTCTTGAATTCCAGGTGATAACTATTTCTCAATAATTATTACTGTACCGTTTGGGGAGAATGACTTACAGTGTTAACACTATGACTACACTCAAATGTAATGCATTAACCATAAGTAATTTAGGATGTAGTGGAAATTGCTATGTAAGTGCAGGGATATCTTTTCCTATTGTACCTCATCAAAATTTCATCCTTCACGTTTGAGCCTAAATATCTGCCCAGGCTTCTATCATTGTCTTAAACAGCACCTACATATTTCCTAGATAGTGACCAGGAGTAAGCACTCCATTTGCTTTTAGTCATCCTTCTCAATGGAGTGGAGATAATTTGTGGATGACATATCTATATTGACTGAGGTCAGCCAAGTTAATACAGGTTCGAAATTGTGGTTATGAATCTTTTGTGCAGATGGTCTGTTACAGACAATTCCATTACCATCAGCACCAACTAATTTCAATGTAATGTTCAAGTGATACATTATTTTTCATTGTATGTGATGTTGCACATATTCCATTCTATATATTGCACACATTTTAAGATAACATAAGCCTTTTATAATAAGAATATATACTCTACCATCTGTAGGGTTTGCAAAATCTTTGGGGACAGTGCCTGCATCATCCAGCTCAACTGGTTCTAGCTCAGACCGCACTCCTTCTATCTCAATCTCATGCTCTCCAGAACAGGTGTCATCTTCTGACCTTGTACTTTCACCGGTGCGACGGAACTTCACCACGCTGGAAAGAAGTAAGCAACCAAAGGATCAACTGCATTAAAATCTGATTTGTCTCCTAAAAAGGGAATATATTCAACAGCACATCTTATTAAGAATTCTCACAGATCTCAACATCAGTCTCTGGAAAAGGGAGTCTCACCATTATGACCTCTATCCAGAGGGAGTCACTGAGTCCATTTTTAAATAGACCATATCACTATTAAAACCTACTATTAAATCATGAATTGCTCAATCTCTTGAAATACAGACAGTGCATTGTCACCATGATTACTATTACTGAGGGATTTGTCCAAGCCTAATCACTCAAAAAAATCAATTAGTTTTGTTTAAATACTTTTGCTTAAATTATATCTGTTGATCAGGGAATTGACTAGGACAATTTATTCAGAATGATGAACCATGGAGCTCATTCAACATGTAGCTCAGAAAACTGAGTCACTGAAGATGTCTGGATAAATGGCTACCGTGAAAATTAATCTCTCTGAGGCAGTCAAATTGAAATTGGATCATAATCCAACTTGGCACAATTCAATAAGGCTGGTGCCAGGACCACAGGAAATTGGTCTGCTGGTTTCAGTGGTTTACTACTAGTGAGCTCCATATGCCAGTTTCAGTCTCAAAGGCAGGTCGATAACTCTGGGTTTCAGAAAGATTGGTCAGCCTGGGGTGTGGACAATTCACAAAGAGGACTTGGCAATCCTGAGGAGAAGCTTAGAGTTTGCAGCAATGACACTCAGATTTAATCTGAAGTCAGAAGGAGCTGGAATTCTCTGCAGTAAGGTGAATTATAAAAGATTCGCCCTTTAAAGGAACCCCCCACCACGACCATCCTCCCCCCATCCCTGGCAACACATGACAAAACTGGCCATAGTCTTCATGAATGGCATTCTGTGATCACAACTACCAAATCTTGCAAAGAGGCCTCAAATATGGTCAGTCCCACAATTTGCAGATACAACTTGTTTACAGCTTGACACTTATTTACAGCTTGTGTTTTTGATAGCTATGAAGGAACCTTTACAAATATGGCAACTTCATGCTGTCAGTTGAAAAAGAGTTCATGGAAATGCCTGTCATATTGATCCTTCAAGCCCTTGTTTTATTTCTATTGAATAGGTACAGCCAAATCTAATTTGTAAGGTGATGACTCCTTCATGTTACCACCAATTATAACTTAAACAAGGGTGCTGTGGGAAAAATGGACAGATAAAATGTAAAGATATTAAAATGGAATATAATTATTTTTAATTAAGCCAGAAGGGAAAATCTGTAAAGCTGTTCTGTTTCAGAGCATTACACCTTATACTCTCACTTTCGGTCAGATTTGTTTACTTGAATAAATCATACATGAAATGAACATGGGGATCTCCTACTGCTCTTCAGCGTGACATCAGCTAACTCAGCATAGACCAGAAATTAGGCATTGGTCTTTCTAAACTGGGATGGCTTAGTACCACATCAGGTAGTGACTCTGCCATCAAAAAAAACCTTCTATTTCAAATTTTAAAAGTTGCATTCCATTATCCACTAATTGCCTTTAATGGTGATTCATTTATCAAACATTAATGCAGTAAAGCATTCAAAATGAGATATTTCTGGGTGCTGCCAGGCATTGCTTTGATATGGAAGCAACCTGAGCACCTCCATTATTCTCCTAACACAGTATTGTGAGATAAAGGCATAGAAAGATAAAAGAGTCAAGCAAAGATGTGACAGGATTTGACTGTGGTTTTTATTGTATTCCTAGTGAATTATTTATTTTATTATGCAGGAATATGAGAGAATGAAGCCTTTGAAAAGCACTGTTTTTGGATTGCCAATTAATTATAGAGACATGACAGCACAGGATGTCTTTGTTTCTGACTTATAGATTTAAGTTCAGGAAAACAAGGAGAGCACGATCTTTAGTGGCCCTATAACATTGGTTGATTTATTTTTATATTCTCCAGTAGGATGTGAAGGGGTATCACTCACAAGGCCAGAAATTGTTTCCTGTTCCTAATTTGCATTGAGAAGGTGGTGATGAACAGCCTGCTCAGCTGCAGGTCCTGTGGTAATCAGGGAGAAAGAAAGCTAATATACCAAAAACGCAAATAATTATGACTAGCTTTAATATTTTGTTTTTGAGGTATCAGTAAGGGGATTGTATAGCAAAACTGACCAAATCTGGCACTAGAAACAAACAAAATTGAAATGTGGAGATTGTCTGAGGCTAATGATATTTCTACTCACCACACTATCATGACTGGGAAATGTTTCACACAGAGTAAGTACCAACTTTCCAGCATTTGAGTTTTGAGGAGTTGAAGGTTAATGTCTGGGATTGCTCCAATCAACCCAAGAGTAAATATGGAAACAGTATAATTGTGGTAATTTTATCTAACTAGAAATCTAGAGGCCTGGACTAACGGTCCAGTCACACAAATTCAACAGGAAGACTAACCATGATTGAGGTTTGACTATTGCTGTAATATTTCAATGCGTCATATACCAAGGTGAAATTATAACTTATTTTACTTGTGTTGAGAAATATAGTCCTCATCACTGTGATGTGCCCAATTTTAAGTTGCTTTAGAACTAACTTAGTTCTTACTCCCTGAAAAAAAACACATAACACAACGCTTTAAATTTTTTTGCATTTCATTGGATTTCTTTGTTTAAGATACAAATATTTAATGAATCAATTCATCACTTTTGACTTCCAAAATATCATACCAGTTATTTTTCTTTTCTCTTCCTGCCATAAACCTCCCAGTTCTAGGCAAAGCTGTTGTTGATACCTCAGTGTACCAGGCAGATGTTTGCTTCTATAAAATCTCCAGTGATCAGCATTTAAACTCATCATTTTATCATCCTCGGGTCCTGAACTAATTTCAGGCAAAATCATTGAAAGTCAGTACCATTGCTGACATCCTCTGGCCCAGGGTACAAACATTAATCCTCAGCAAATATCAGCTCTTACAAACTACATAAAATATTAAAATACTTTTTTAAGGAAATCTTTTATCTGCTGCTCATACTTCACAGTTCTTAGCAAATTTATTTGACTGGGTTGTCGCAGCCATTGTTCATAGCAATGTGAGAAGTAATTTTTGCATCCAGTGTTGACTGGGGCAAAGTTGAAGAAATACTGTGGATTGCATACTTTGCATATTCACATCTTGCCATGATTAACCTACACTCTCCATTAGAAATAGTCACTCTTTTAAGTAGCATAACTATAACTTCACTTCATCATCCAAGTGAGTGCATCCTGTTGTCTCAATAACACTGAAGACCTTTCTACAATGGAGTACCAAAACTATGCAGAGGCTGTAGAGTTAACCATTGATTTGTGCAGTTATATTTACCCCTTAACTTTGTGCTATTATTATAAAATGCAAAATGCCATTTCCCTTCTTATATCTACCTGCTATCCTACTTACAAAGAATAATATCTTTGAATTACTTGTCTTCCTGCTTCTGCTATGCCCTTCAATATTTTTCAGTTTAAGCCTACAATCTTCTGGCCCAGGCATGAGAGTGTTCACAACTGAGCTAATTTGATACAATAAATATTTCCAGTAGAATGAGACTGATTCAAAAGTCATTGAAGATCGCCTCATAAAACAAGGTATTTTATTTCTTTACGTCTTCTGTAAAGCATATCCTTTTATTATATTCCATTAAACAATCATAACAGCCTTCAACTAAGAAGTATGTTAATTGTCTTATAGCTATAGGAAATTAATTAAAATTGTTTGATACTATTTTTCATCATGGAGCTGTGTTGCTAAATCTGTATAATATATTAGAAATTTCACACTTTTTCCCTACTATAATCAGTTTTGCTTCTAATAGTAATATAAATTTAAATAAGACATAACAAGAATGGTTGATGGATGAGTTTTAAAGAATGACTGAATTATATTTGGATACCTCAGTATCCTCTAGTCTCACCTGCAAGGGCTTAGTGTTTACTATGTATGTTCAATACTACAACAAATCAATTAGGCTTTTGTTTGGATTCCTAACTTAAGACCACATAATCTACAAATAAATTAGGAATTTTAATGTCGGACACGTAAGTTCATTTATCCCACGTTTCTCATTGCACAGTCATGTGATTCCAAACGTGAATATGTAGATATAAAGCAAGCAAAGTCCCATCATAAAGAATTACAGTTCTTTTATTTGCAAATACACTGCAAGATATTATGGAGAGGATAAATCACGCTTTTTTGTGTGATCACAGAAGTTTGCAAATACCCACTCTATAAAACACAATACTGTTGAAGATTTGAATACTACTCCAATTCTTGGTTGAATTCTTTTAATATCTATCTCAAAATCATGGTAGCACACAAGGAATAAATGCTGTTTGATAAGTTACTAACATCTTACATTAAGCTTCCACACTCTCTGCCCATTCTTTTCATTACAATCGAGGATCTTACCATAACTCATTTTTTCAAATGGCTCAAAAGGCTAGAAATAGAAAATGCAGCAAGACGACACTTGATTTATGTCAAAAGCATGATGGAGACCTGGTGTCATACACTGTCAGACATTATTCAGAATGCCTCACTGCAACCTGAGGTAGTTCTCATGTTTGAAGAGAAGCACATGTGATCACTTTATTCAAAGGAGGATTAAAGTCAAACCTGGGAACTATGAACTCAAGAATATAATCTCTGCGCAGAGGAGGTTAATGGCAAATATTTAAAGAGGTATGTATAGATGTTACAATAAACATTCAACAAAGATTCAGAAAAGAGTTAATTAATCATTTATAGAGACTGACTAGAATGGTGAATCAAGAGAACCTAGTAAATGTCAGATAGTTGGATTTTTAAAAGGCTTTTTGCAAAACACTAGACTCCAATTTGGTGATGGAATGCATAAAAATAGATTAAGTAACAGTAAACAAAGGGTGGTTTTAAATGAAGTGCCTTCTCACATGCAGTAATTACATTTGCAGATGAGATCAAAAGTTGTGAGGTTGGGAACTCAAGAGGGAGA